GAGGGGCAGGTGTCGAGTAATACCCCTTTGCTCTCCTCTCCCTGGGGGCCCTTACAAACCCTGTTGACCCCTTTTCCTTTCATGGAGGGGGCGATCGGGGGACAATAGGATACTTATTTTTGGGTGAAACTGTTTCAGAGTATGTGCATGTATTGCACCCCCCCCCCCCCCTGCAGGACTATTGTGACAGTATTAGAGCAGAGCAAAATTGACGTTTTTCTCTCGTTGGAGATGGGAAATTGGAAGTGGAAAGGATAAGAATGGAGATGTATTTGGGTGAGGAGGGTGCATGCGTCTGCATGTGTGGAAAAAAGAACAATATTTAGAGAGAGAAAGAGAGAAAGAGAGAGAGAGAAAGAGAGAGAGAGAGGGGGTAGCGAGAGGGACAAAAGCGTATAAATGATGGGGGTTGAGAGTAGAAGAAATGTTAGTGGAAAATGTAAGTCAAATTTTGCCATCGGCAGGTAAAAACTCATTGCTAAACCATAACAAAGAGTGTGAATGCTCATGAAATAAAACTCGGTCAAGTCTTTCAGCTTTGAAATTACGCCAATGAGGCTAGCACTGTGGCAGCCATTTCACCTGAAAATTGGAGTCAAATGTTGCCATAGGCGTATAACTAAGAAAGATATCCTGTCAAAATGAAAAGCAAAACATGCGTACAAAAAAGAGAAAATGTTTAAATAGGAAATAGAACGAAAAATTGATATTTTCACACTCATTTTAAGGTCTCCGGTTTTGCAAAATAACTTTTATAATTGCATTTGGATACGACCTGAATCGATCAATGCGTTCTGTCATACATGTAGGTTACCACTGATCAAGCTTGTTTGTATCCAGAATCAACACCCTTTCTCAATATAAATTTCATACAATTTGATTAATGTACTTCATTTTGCTGGATTATACAACAGTAGATATTTCTATTAATTCAATGCATTTTGTGGAAAGGGGAAGTGATTGTAAAGATAAGGAATTTTTTAAGAAAAAGGCAAATTATTCTTAAATTATAATTAATATTGCTTAGTTATCGACTTTACACTAACAACTTCTCATCGCGAAATAGAACGCTAGACATATAGACATACATTGAATTTGGAGTTGACCCTTCTGGTATCCAAATGGTATTTGGCTCTTTTGTATCGAGAATCGAGATTGAGACATAAAGTGTGATAAAAGAAAAATCTGCTTGAAAACGAGCAAGCAACCTCTCAATAGTGTAGGGTTATGATCATAGATGTCCTTTTAATAATTGTTTTCGTTTCTGAAAGACGGATTATTTAAAGCGATAGGAAGCACTTAAGATTCAATTCAAAACCATGAGATACAGTTTTCATTTGATTTCAAAAGAATATTCAAATAACAATAATATATATTGCCTATATTAACGAACGTGGTCAATGCTGGAGGCTTGTAAATATTTGATTCCATTTGATTGGAGATAAAAATCAGCATTTATGCCATCTAGATAACTATTCAAATGTTAGAAAATCCAGCTATCCCACCTTGTGCATTACTCGGCTCAATCCTATCTCGAATTCATCTCTAATCCGACAATACATCAAACTCGTCTTTCATCAGATTAAAATTCAATAATGACATTCGAAAAGAAATCCTCTTTTGACAAAAAGCTTATCTGAACTTGCGATCACCCCTCGGAGGAACTTACACCGATCCTATTGAAGAATTATCAATAGCGCGCTGAGTGATAATGGATTAATATTGGAATAATAATAGCGCACAATTGAAATGAAATGCTTGATTTACGAGATGTGGTAAAAAGAGTGGGCATACAAGTCATATCTTACGAATGCACGGTTGGGTTGTTACGAATTCTCATGTAGCAAAATTGTGAGGGTAGAGACAGTTGTTTTGTGTTCATATTTGTTTAATTTTAGAAGTCATGTATACAAATATGAGAGGAGAGGCATTCGTCTTGTGTTCAGTGCTTGTTTAATTTTAGAAGTTATTCCGTGGTAACGGGGGAAAAGCAGTATAGGGGCTTACAGTACATACAATAGAAATGATGATGGAAAAATGTATATTTTCATTTCCATTGGCGTTTGTATACTGTATACACTACGTGATCTTTTTTTTTTGGTTCGCAGTCGGTTGTTTCGATACAGATTCATAAATGCAAACTGAATCACATCTGAGATTTTTCCTTTTCATATTTCATGAATCATTAATGTAATGTTGATATTTCCATGATTATGCCCCATTTTCCAAAACCATATTTGGCCGGGAGATGTAATTTCATTTTCCCAACAGTGATTTGAGCAAATTTTACCCTAAAACTTATCCTAATCCTAACCTTATTCTAACCCTAACCTTATAATAATATTGCCAAATGATATTTCTTTACGTCAGTACTTTTCCCACTCACATTATATTCAAATGATACAACGTAAAACATGTGTACCAATCATGGTAATAAATTGAAAGAAGACACATTGAATCACATAGAATCACATTGAACAAAGAGCTTGTGACGGGTGCAACTATCCTGATAATCCTGATTCTGTCCCAAATACTGATCATAAGCATGTCTTTCCATAATCATATAAAACTACCCCTATCCGGTTAATTGATATTTTCATAGACTACCACGCGCTCATGCTCTTATAAGACAGGGGCGGGAGTGGGGTTTCTGATGGGTGAACAATATTATTATTCACAGGGACCGATTTTATGCTTGAAGTCCCCTTGTACAATTCACGTACCCAAACATACTCTGGCAATGACTGATACTATCTTTTGTGTATGAACACGACTATTCTCCTGACAAAATAACGGGAAATGAAAACATTTTTTCTTTTGCAGGCCAGGAGTCAAATACTATGTTCTCAAACGGAGTATTACCAGATGAAATATTCATGAAAAGCTGGCTCAAAACCACTTTCAGAATAAACAGTTTGTATGTACTGACATTATTGACTGCATCATTGGTACCTTTTAAAAATGACATTCGTGTATGAACACGATACTCATGACAGGTCATGAAAACAAACAAAAAAGTTTCGCAGGCTAGGAGTCAAATACAGCTCGCATGGATGCATTGTTCTCCAGCGGAGTGTTACCAAATGAAATATTCATGAAAAGCTGGCTTAAAGCCACTTTCTGTATCTATGTAGCTGGTATGTACTAGCACTGACTGTATGTCTCGTATCTTGCATTGAAAAGCATTATTGTATGTTTTGCATTGTGACTTTTGTCAAAGAGAGACGCCATTTTTGTAAGGATTATGTGCATTGAATTTGATCACGATTATATACGGAAGCTTTATGTTCACAATATATTGTGGTCGAAACACAGCGAGAATAATAATCTGTATATAATACTCTGTATCAAAATATTGTTGATATGAATTGCAAAATGATGGGTTCTAAAATGATAAGTTAACCATGTTAGAAAGTGAGATAGGAATGCACATAATAGGATGAAACAGAGAGGAGAAGTACTGTACAATTCAGCCCGAAGAGAGACAATATAAAGGTAATTGAAGGCCAATAAGAGGAAACCAAATATGATAAAGTACAAAATTATCTGGTCTTATTGGATGATGTGGATGTAAATACTTGTTTATGAAGGTAAAATAGAGAGGAACGACAAAGACCTATACAATTCTAGAAGTTTCATAGTTGAAATAGAAAGGAGAGAAAAATAATCGGAAAGGGATGGACAGAGAATAATAGTGGGAGAAAGCAGAGAGAGAGAGAGAGAGAGAGAGAAAAGAAAACAGGTAGAGAGGGAGAAAGGATGAAGATACAGAGAAGGGCAGAAAGACAGGACAGAGATACTATAAAGGAGTAGAGGAAAGAGAAAGGCGGAGAGGAAACTGACTGAATGAGAGAAAGGGGGAGAGGAAGAGAGAAAGAAAGAGAGAGAGAGAGAGAGAGATAGAGATAGAAAGAGGGAGAGGAGGAAGACGGAGAAGTAGAGGAAGAAGAGGAAGAAGAGAGAGAGAGAGAGAGACGGAGAGAAAGAGAGGGGGCAGAGACAGACAGATTATAGAAAGAGATGAACAAACATTTCTGATGAGGTCGGTAGAACAAAGGACATTACAGACACCATACAGGGTCACTTGGAGGTTAATGTACTATTGCCATGGGCGTATCAAATAATTCAAATGCACATCATTATGAATATGAGTAGTAATACATCACGATAAGTTTCATACTCACTCATTAACAAAGGCAGCATTTTCACAGTCTGTGTCTCTTGAATAATACGATAAAATAACGATACTGTAACTTGAACTTCTTTCACAAACAACGCTATCCATGACTGTACTTTGTTGCTGGTTAGTTAAGATATTGTATGTAATTCAAAAATGCTTGTTCAGGGTAATGGTTCTCTATACAGATTGCATTGTTTTTCTCCAGTAACAAAATCTTAACATATTTCATTTAATACTTGGTACTTGGTTGTTGTTCCTCCAAAAGATTCCTAGTGGAATTTAAACTGGAAGTCGTGGTGGCAGAGGGTGGACTTATTAATGTGATACTAAAACTCAACTGAAGGAAAAAAAGAACTTATCACTACATCACTAAGCATACAGAGGTAATCTTTTATGATACTACTACTAGTCATGAGTTACTGCTGGTGTTGTGGACCTGAAACCAACCAAATCAAATGTTGGATGTTATTTTTTCTCGATTTCACCCCATAACAATGAATATCTGACTTTGATTTATATCTCCCTCCTCTAATTCCGTCTGTAAGCCTCCTTTTTCTGTGTCTCTAACTGTCTGAAAGAAAAACAAATCACATTATCTCTCTCTCTCTCTCTCTCTCTCTCTCTCTCTCTCTCTCTCTCTCTCTCTCGTTTCGTTCTTTCCGTCTGTCAATATGCATCTGCCCCTGTTGCTCCTTCCCTCCTCCTCCCCCCCCCCCCGCTCCACCCTCCCTCTCCCTACCTCCGTCAACCCTCTCCCTGCTCTCTGCCCCGCTTATGATGATTTATAACATCTTTCTTCACATTCATGTTCTCTTTGCAGACGGGGGTTATTACTCAGGGGAGAAACCTTCCGACTTTTACCGCATCAATCTGCCAACTACGGATATCAGAAAACACTCGAAAGGTCGTACAGGTGAGCTAGAAAATAATAAGTTTTAGATCAAGGAATTTATCCTTTATCAAAGTTTGTGATCATATTCTTGATATGGTTTTGAGAACTAGAAATTGATTTTTGTTTGGGCTCGGATGTGTGGGATGTTTTGACGATTCTGGTTGAAAGATACAAAGTTTTTATATTCAGGTGCTTACTTCTTTTCTTTTTTTTGACATTCGATGTAAAAAATAGAGGCTCAAATCGCACATGGTTTTTGCTGTGACTATACTGTCCCGCATTATCAACTCATGATTTCAAGATACGAAATGTTACACATCGTGCAGACGGTTTTGAACTTAGCAAGATTTACAGATTTGTTAACAGTACGAATAAACCAAGGTACGTTATATAGATTGATCATTCGTAGATATTAATTTATAGACCTAATTCAAAGTCTAGCTCGTGAGAATGAGCTGTACGAGCCCTAACTATGCCTAATACTATGGTTTTTCTATTACGACAGCAGAGGAATTCTGCTCAGAAACCAGGCCTAGTCTCTTTGGTATAGAAGTCAGACGAGGAATATAGCTTGCTTCCACGATCTTTAGAATTGAATAGAAGGAGTAACTCTATACTCTGTGGCCACGTTATAAGGAAATCTAGTACATTCTCCTATTTGACACATAATACACATTGTGACGAAATTTATTTCCATGTGAGGGCGAGAGTAAACGTTCCAACCCGACGAATAATGGCTCTCGGCTTGTTGTCTAACAAATAAGGCGGACCCCCATTAACAGTTTCCTTTTGAGGCGATTAGACGCACAATGAAACAGTTTGAAAACCGTCTTAAAGTTGGGTAATTGTATACGTCATGTAGACCTCTATTTAGCAGTCACGATATCCCTTTAAAATGGCATTCCATTCCTATTGATTTGATGGTATTCTGTTTGCTATAAGGAATTGGAGTATAATGAGTATTTGGAGTCCACTGTGTTGGTAAACTCGTCAAGCATAATCATGAAGGAGGAGGGTGGGTGAATGCTGGAGGGGCGCCATTTCCCTTCTCCAGTTTAAGACATTTTGTAGACAATAACTTCTCATTACCCTCCTAATATTCATTTCCACTCTTTTAAAAGAAAACAAAAAACATAAATCAATACAATACAATACAAGTACACAAGTAAAATAAATCTGGAGATGGAAATGTGTGTTAGCTTAATGGAGATTACTCCCAATTGTGGTGGAAAATTGTACATTCTGAAGGAAATATGAGAGCCTAATGTTACTGTTCAAGTTGTCGGCACATCGCTTATGGGCTGCTCCTCTCCATATTCACCAACCCTCATCCCACCACCATTGTGTGGAGATGTCGTGGTATAGTTGATCAATACCTTGACTCTCAATCCAATGGGTAAGGGTTCGAATCCCAGCCCGGCACCAACGTCCTTTTGCAATACTTTAATCTACATTTACCACTCTCCACCCAGGTCTAAATTGGTAGCTGGCAATTGCTGGGTTAATAATGAATATAATTGCAGGGCCCGCAGTAAGAGCAGTAAGAGCAGTAAGAGCAGTAAGTGTTATTTACTGATGTGGCTACTGCAGGTAAAGAAGACCAAGTTATTATTTTATTACTATTATCATACAAACTTAATGCACTATTCATTGCTCAATATTAACGGCTATAGCGCGAGATGACTTACAGTGTTATATTTTAGTAAAATATGCATTTCTTTCATCTCCTGAAAAAAAGCTAAGCCAATGAACTTCAGCCTCCTCTTTTCGTTTGAAACTCTGCTCTTAAATTATTAAGCCTCTTTTTTTTTTTTATATCTTCATAAAAGCTAGTGCACCAAGACATCCGTCTCCAACTTGTCCTAATTTCCAACGAATAATATATCTAAATTTCTTTATGGCAATCTAAAAGCTTTGAACCAACTTTATAGATAAAGCGAACCATGCATCGTTAAATGCAATAAACAGACCTAGCTAATGAAGTAAAAAATTTATTGCAGACAAAAATGCGCTTTCGTTTTAAAGGAAAGTCTCGTCCGTGTAGCGTCGCTTAGAATTTTTATTGTTTCACGAAAAGGCTGTAAAATTAGAGACTGACTTCTGACGAATGATGAGAAGGCAACATTTATCAGTTATAAAAGCTAAATTTCTTGTGTCTGAAGAGATAATTGATGGTCTCAAGTCGCCATTTGAATGCCAACAGTAGACGCTATTGGTGAAGAGGTAAGTTTGATTCTTGGTTTGCTTAAATGAAGAAAGAAAAAAAGATTAAAATTAGATGTGATACTGATATTGAGTCTCTTCATCGCCGTGACTGCCTGACTGCAGACAGTATAATACCATACAAGTTCAAAGGGGCAAGACAAGTGTAGTTATTGCATGGTGATAAAACGGATGGGATGAAAAAGATGAGTAAGAGAGAAGAAGAGAGAGAGAGAGAGAGAGCGAGAGAGAGCAAGAGAGAGAGAGATAAAGAGAGAGAGAGAGAGAGATGAATCTAAATTTATGACTGAATGTCACGCGGGAATATTTTTTATTGAAGCGCCGTGTCATGAGGGGTGATAGGTTTGGCATGCAAGTCGTGCCGTCAAGCATGCGAAACAGAATGTCTCTTAAAGGCACCCTGAGGTAGGAGGAAATATGTGTATTATTTGTATCATCCTTCATTTACAAATAATTCACTTATCGTAACCACACTGGACCTTGTCACGTTCTCACACATCTTCTGGGTAGGGAGCAGAATCTTTAATTTAAAAATGTTTTAGGAGAAGAGGTGTCACTTTATTTAGTCGAAAACATCTCGTCTGTATTATTTCCTCAAACTCTTCTATTATTAAGTTAGTGAGGTTTAATGTATGCATATTACAGGATGAATATTGTCTTCGTTATTTTTATCGTGTATCTGTTTGGCAATTCAAATACAATGAAATATTATAAGAGAGACAATTAAAAACCTTGATGTTCACAAACTTGCTACAATTTTTGCTATTGAATCTTATTTATGTATTTTTAAAATAAATAATCACTTTAGTACTTAATTTATTCATTTATTTGTTTCTCGTAATGAACGTTTCTTTATCTAAAATAGAATAAAGTGACCGGAGCTGAAGTGTGACTGCCCTTTAAAATTCCACCTTCAGCAATATCTAATAAACAAATTCAAATTTTCCTATTTCTTAAATTGGTCGTAAACCGTTTTAGGCGAATTTAAATCTATTTCCTCGCTACCTTTAAATCTGGACGCGGCCCACCAAAAAAGTTACAAATTGCAACATGTGATAATAGACGACAGATCGCGTCTGCTTGGCATTTTCTTTCTTCTTCTTCAAAGATTGTGCAGAGAAAAATGAAACGGGAGAGTAGTGATTTCTTCTCGTGGGCACTTGAGAATTCCAGAGAGAAAATGGCTCCAAAAATAATGGAAATGGTCAGCTGTTACTGCCTGTAAAAATAGGTTCAGGGCATCACTTTCTTATGTCCACTACTTTTTACATTTTGGTCGTGATTGAAAAGGAGAGAAAGTGCACATCAAGTTCAGAATAGACTATATTCGCAGACGTTGTGTTAATATGTTATTATGATTCACCACTGAAGAACAAAGTGTTGACTGTAGGTTAATAAAACTTCTATTTTGTAAGCGTACCCTCCATGTATGATATTTTATTCAATTTTGTTGTTATAATTATGATGGGAAATGTCGATGACCCGAATTGGTTAATAATATTTCTATGAGTAAAATAGTTATGGACATACCTAAAGAAATATACACTTAACATATACGATTCCCAATTACAAAATAATCATCTATGCTGTCGACAATATAAGAAGTTCAATTATTCTTATGAATCGGTGATTACGAGTCGGCACTATATTGCAAAATATTTTTTATCACATGAATTACATTTTCCGGCAAATTTACTACATAAAGCTTGTAATCTATTGCGACAATTTCAGACAAAAGTTGCGTATTCATTCACAAATATACCAAAGATTTACTGAACGGAATACATGTATATAATTTATTGCATTTATTAGTTTTGACCACAAATGAATCCCTTTTCGGTGATGGGTCACATTTTCCTCGGCACCCGTTCCAAAAAAGTAACAAAGTGGCCGTCATATTCATTAGTCATCCATTCTTAACACTAGAGTAAAAAACCTCGTAATAGATTCGATTTCACTGGCCATTACACACATCATTCACTTCTCAAATAAACTGTTTTTGTTAGGTATTCAAAACTGATATTGATATAATTCACTTTTACCCATCTTATTTTTTTGTCAACGAAATACAATTTCCATTTTGTAACGACTTTCTAGATCGTTAATTTTACACATCACCCACAAATGTCTACTGAATTGCTTGCGATTTCACCGATCATTACACACACATATTTATATTTACCCAGATTACTATAAAATAAAATAAAAATAATTATGCTTGCTTATATAGCGCCTAACACTTACTTTATCAGAAGTCTCTAAGCGCTCTACAATAATGCAGCATAATTATTATTATGTATTTGTTATGTAATTTGTATATGTCCTTGTTATCATGCTCTCACGAAATATCACTTCCTACAGTATTGTACCCACATTGTAAATATAATATATATTTCAATTTTATGCTAATTGTGATTATAAGAATGAGTTGATTGTTTATTGAATATTATTACGCCTTATACATTTTTTGGCCATGCAAGTTAACAAATGTGTTTTGAAAGCCATGAAACATTTCAAAGGAAAAACAGTCATGGCAGTCTATGTTGGATGATATTGTTATATCACAATCATGGGTTTGATAAAAAAAAAAAAGGTATATAATGATGTATAGACCTTATCCTGTTTTAGGTAATTCCTCAAGTATTTGTTTAACTGTCATACCGATTAGGAGAGAGTTGGGTATGATGGGGGGGGGGGGGGGGGGGGGTAGATGGATGCATCTGGAGAAAGGAGAAGGGGAATGGCAGAGGACAGAAAGTAAATAGACTGTGTACATAAAGAAGTACACCACCTGACAT